TGGAGTTGCAGGGCATCTGGAGGGTAACACTGGAGAGTATGACCTGGTGGAGTTGCAGGACATCTGAAGGGTAACACTGGAGAGTATGACCTGGTGGAGTTGCAGGACATCTGGAGGGTAACACTGGAGAGTAAATGACCTGTGGAGTTGCAGGACATCTGGAGGGTAACACTGAGAGTATGACCTGTGGAGTTGCAGTGCACCTGGAGGGTAACACTGAGAGTATGACCTGGTGGAGTTGCAGGACACCTGAGGGTAACACTGGAGAGTATGACCTGGTGGAGTTGCAGGACACCTGGAGGTAACACTGGAGAGTATGACCTGTGGAGTTGCAGGACACCTGGAGGTAACACTGGAGAGTATGACCTGGTGGAGTTGCATGACACCTGGAGGGTAACACTGGAGAGTATGACCTGGTGGAGTTTGCAGGACACCTGGAGGGTAACACTGAGAGTATGACCTGGTGGAGTTGCAGGGCACCAGGAGGTAACACTGAGAGTATGACCTGGTGGAGTTGCAGGGCACCTGGAGGGTAACACTGGAGAGTAATGACCTGATGAGTTGCAGGGCACCCTGGAGGTAACACTGGAGAGTATGACCTGGTGGAGTTGCAGGGCACCTGGAGGGTAACACTGGAGAGTATGACCTGGGAGTTGCAGGACACCTGGAGGGTAACACTGGAGAGTATGACCTGGTGGAGTTGCAGGACACCTGGAGGGTAACACGGAGAGTATGACCCTGGTGGAGTTGCAGAGCACCTGGAGGGTAACACTGGAAAGTATGAACCTGGTGGAGTTGCAGGACACCTGGAGGGTAACACTGGAGAGTATGACCTGGTGGAGTTGCAGGACATCTGGAGGGTAACACTGGAGAGTATAACCTGGTGGAGTTGCAGGACACCTGGAGGGTAACACTGGAGAGTATGACCTGGTGGAGTTGCAGACACCTGGAGGGTAACACTGGAGAGTATAACCTGGTGGAGTTGCAGACACCTGGAGGGTAACACTGGAGAGTATGACCTGGTGGAGTTGCAGGACTCTGGAGGGTAACACTGTAGAGTATAACCTGGTGGAGTTGCAGGACACCTGGAGGGTAACACTGGAGAGTATGACCTGGTGGAGTTGCAGGACACCTGAGGGTAACACTGGAGAGTATAACCTGGTGGAGTTGCAGGACATCATGGAGGGTAACACTGGAGAGTATAACCTGGTGGAGTTGCAGGACACCTGGAGGGTAACACTGGAGAGTATGACCTGGTGGAGTTGCAGGACATCTGGAGGGTAACACTGGAGAGTATAACCTGGTGGAGTTGCAGGACACCTGGAGGGTAACACTGGAGAGTATGACCTGGTGGAGTTGCAGGACATCTGGAGGGTAACACTGGAGATAAAACCTGGTGGAGTTGCAGGACACCTGGAGGGTAACACTGGAGAGTAATGACCTGGTGGAGTTGCAGGACATCTGGAGGTAAACACTGGAGAGTATGACCTGGTGGAGTTGCAGGACACCTGGAGGGTAACACTGGAGAGTATGACCTGGTGGAGTTGCAGGACATCTGGAGGTAACACTGGAGAGTAATAACCTGGTGAGTTGCAGGACACCTGGAGGGTAACACTGGAGAGTATGACCTGGTGGAGTTGCAGGACATCTGGAGGGTAACACTGGAGAGTATAACCTGGTGGAGTTGCAGGACACCTGGAGGGTAACACTGGAGAGTGTGACCTGTGGAGTTGCAGGGCACCTGGAGGGTAACACTGGAGAGTGTGACCTGGTGGAGTTGCAGGACACCTGGAGGGTAACACTGGAGAGTGTGACCTGGTGGAGTTTCAGGACACCTGGAGGGTAACACTGGAGATGTGACCTGGTGGAGTTGCAGGGCACCTGGAGGGAACACTGGAGAGTGTGACCTGGTGGAGTTGCAGGACACCTGGAGGGTAACACTGGAGAGTGTGACCTGGTGGAGTTGCAGGGCACCTGGAGGGTAACACTGGAGAGTGTGACCTGGTGGAGTTGCAGGACACCTGGAGGGTAACACTGGAGAGTGTGACCTGGTGGAGTTGCAGGACACCTGGAGGGTAACACTGGAGAGTGTGACCTGGTGGAGTTGCAGGGCACCTGGAGGGTAACACTGGAGAGGTGACCTGGTGGAGTTGCAGGGCACCTGGAGGGTAACACTGGAGAGTATGACCTGGTGGAGTTGCAGGACACCTGGAGGGTAACACTGGAGAGTATGACCTGGTGGAGTTGCAGGGCACCTGGAGGGTAACACTGGAGAGTATGACCTGGTGGAGTTGCAGGCACCTGCAGGTAACACTGGAGAGTATAACCTGGTGGAGTTGCAGGACACCTGGAGGTAACACTGGAGAGTATGACCTGGTGGAGTTGCAGGACACCTGGAGGTAAACACTGGAGAGTATAACCTGGTGGAGTTGCAGGACACCTGGTGTGGTAACACTGGAGAGTATGACCTGGTGGAGTTGCAGGACACCTGGAGGGTAACACTGGAGAGTATGACCTGGTGGAGTTGCAGGACACCTGAGGGTAACACTGGAGAGTATGACCTGGTGGAGTTGCAGGACACCTGGAGGGTAACACTGGAGAGTAAACCTGGTGGAGTTTGCAGGACACCTGGAGGGTAACACTGGAAGTATAACCTGGTGGAGTTGCAGGACACCTGGGGGTAACACTGAGAGCATAACCTGTGGAGTTGCAGGGCACCTGGAGGGTAACACTGGAGAGTATAACCTGGTGGAGTTTGCAGGACACCTGGAGGGTAACACTGGAGAGTATAACCTGGTGGAGTTGCAGGACACCTGGAGGGTAACACTGGAGAGTATGACCTGGTGGAGTTGCAGGACACCTGGAGGGTAACACTGGAGAGTATGACCTGGTGGAGTTGCAGGACACCTGGAGGGTAACACTGGAGAGTATGACCTGGTGAGTTGCAGACACCTGGAGGGTAACACTGGAGAGTATGACCTGGTGGAGTTGCAGGACACCTGGAGGGTAACACTGGAGAGTATGACCTGGTGGAGTTGCAGGACACCTGGAGGGTAACACTGGAGAGTATAACCTGGTGGAGTTGCAGGACACCTGGAGGGTAACACACTGGAGAGTATAACCAGGTGGAGTTGCAGGACACCTGGAGGGTAACACTGGAGAGTATAACCTGGTGGAGTTGCAGGACACCTGGAGGTAACACAGGAGTAGTATAAACTGGTGGAGTTGCAGGACACCTGGAGGGTAACACTGGAGAGTATAACCTGGTGGAGTTGCAGGACACCTGGAGGGTAACACTGGAGAGTATAACCTGGTGGAGTTGCAGGACACCTGGAGGGTAACACTGGAGAGTATAACCTGGTGGAGTTGCAGGACACCTGGAGGGTAACACTGGAGAGTATGACCTGGTGGAGTTGCAGGACACCTGGAGGGTAACACTGGAGAGTATGACCTGGTGGAGTTGCAGGACACCTGGAGGGTAACACTGGAGAGTATAACCTGGTGGAGTTGCAGGGCACCTGGAGGGTAACACTGAGAGTATGACCTGGTGGAGTTTGCAGGACACCTGGAGGGTAACACTGGAGAGTATAACCTGTGTGAGTTGCAGGACACCTGGAGGGAACACTGGAGAGTATGACCTGGTGGAGTTGCAGGACACCTGGAGGGTAACACTGGAGAGTATGACCTGGTGGAGTTGCAGACACCTGGAGGGTAACACTGAGAGTAATGACCTGGTGGAGTTGCAGGACACCTGGAGGGTAACACTGAGAGTATGACCTGGTGGAGTTGCAGGACACCTGGAGGGTAACACTGGAGAGTATGACCTGGTGGAGTTGCAGGACACCTGGAGGGTAACACTGGAGAGTATAACCTGGTGGAGTTGCAGGACACCTGGAGGGTAACACTGGAGAGTATGACCTGGTGGAGTTGCAGACACCTGGAGGGTAACACTGAGAGTATGACCTGGTGGAGTTGCAGGACACCTGGGAGGTAAACACTGGAGAGTATGACCTGGTGGAGTTGCAGGGCACCTGGAGGGTAAACACTGGATGAGTATGACCTGGTGGAGTTGCAGGACACCTGGAGGGTAACACTGGAGAGTGTGACCTGGTGGAGTTGCAGGACACCTGGAGGGTAACACTGGAGAGTGTGACCTGGTGGAGTTGCAGGACACCTGGAGGGTAACACTGGAGAGTGTGACCTGGTGGAGTTGCAGGACACCTGAGGGTAACACTGGAGAGTGTGACCTGTGGAGTTTGCAGGACACCTGGAGGGTAACACTGGAGAGTATGACCTGGTGGAGTTGCAGGACACCTGGAGGGTAACACTGGAGAGTATGACCTGTGGAGTTGCAGGACACCTGGAGGGTAACCACTGGAGAGTATGACCTGTGGAGTTGCAGGACACCTGGAGGGTAACACTGGAGAGTATGACCTGGTGGAGTTGCAGGACACCTGGAGGGTAACACTGGAGAGTATGACCTGGTGGAGTTGCAGGACACCTGGAGGGTAACACTGGAGAGTGTGAGGTAAATAATAACTTGTCTTACGGGGAAGTTGACACTTCTAATACAAATATTTTCAATTAATTCTTGGACTCGATACTTTGTTGTGTTAATAGATATAATATATACAGATCAGTGGAGCCAGCTGGCCTGGTCCCAGCTGGCCCGGTCCCAGCTGGCCCGGTCCCAGCTGGCCCGGTCCCAGCTGGCCCGGTCCCAGCTGGCCCGGTCCCAGCTGGCCCGGTCCCAGCTGGCCCGGTCCCAGCTGGCCCGGTCCCAGCTGGCCTGGTCCCAGCTGCTCCGGTCCCAGCTGCTCCGGTCCCAGCTGGCCTGGTCACAGCTGCTCCGGTCCCAGCTGGCCTGGTCACAGCTGCTCCGGTCCCAGCTGGCCTGGTCACAGCTGCTCCGGTCCCAGCTGGCCTGGTCACAGCTGCTCTCCGGTCCCAGCTGGCCTGGTCACAGCTGCTGACCGTCCACAGCTGGCCTGAGTCACCAGCTGCTCCGATCCCAGCGGCCTGGTCACAGCTGCTCTCCGGTCCCAGCTGGCCTGGTCACAGCTGCTCCGGTCCCAGCTGGCCTGGTCACAGCTGCTCCGGTCCCAGCTGGCCTGGTCACAGCTGCTCCGGTCCCAGCTGGCCTGGTCACAGCTGCTCCGGTCCCAGCTGGCCTGGTCCCAGCTGCTCCGGTCCCAGCTGGCCTGGTCACAGCTGCTTCCGGTCCCAGCTGGCCTGGTCACAGCTGCTCCGGTCCCAGCTGGCCTGGTCACAGCTGCTCCGGTCCCAGCTGGCCTGGTCACAGCTGCTCCGGTCCCAGCTGGCCTGGTCACAGCTGCTCTCCGGTCCCAGCTGGCCTGGTCACAGCTGCTCCGGTCCCAGCTGGCCTGGTCCAGCTGCTCCGGTCCCAGCTGGCCTGGTCACAGCTGCTGCTCCGTCCCGAGCTGGCCTGGTCACAGCTGCTCCGGTCCCAGCTGGCCTGTCCCAGCTGCTCCGGTCCCAGCTGGCCTGGTCCCAGCTGCTCCGTCCCAGCTGGCCTGGTCACAGCTGCTCCGGTCCCAGCTGGCCTGGTCACAGCTGCTCCGGTCCCAGCTGGCCTGGTCACAGCTGCTTTCCGGTCCCAGCTGGCCTGGTCACAGCTGCTCCGTCCCAGCTGGCCCTGTCACAGCTGCTCCGGTCCCAGCTGGCCTGGTCACAAGCTGCCTCCGGTCCCAGCTGGCCTGGTCACAGCTGCTTCCGGTCCCAGCTGGCCTGGTCACAGCTGCTCCGGTCCCAGCTGGCCTGGTCACAGCTGCTCCGGTCCCAGCTGGCCTGGTCACAGCTGCTCCGGTCCCAGCTGGCCTGATCACAGCTGCTCCGGTCCCAGCTGGCCTGGTCACAGCTGCTCCGGTCCCACTGGCCTGGTCACAGCTGCTCCGGTCCCAGCTGGCCTGGTCACAGCTGCTTTCCGGTCCCAGCTGGCCTGGTCACAGCTGCTCCGGTCCCAGCTGGCCTGGTCACAGCTGCTCTGGTCCCAGCGGCCTGGCACAGCTGCTCCGGTCCCAGCTGGCCTGGTCCCAGCTGCCCGGTCCCAGCTGGCCTGGTCCCAGCTGCTCCGGTCCCAGCTGGCCTGGTCACAGCTGCTCCGGTCCCAGCTGGCCTGGTCACAGCTGCTCCGGTCCCAGCTGGCCTGGTCACAGCTGCTCCGTCCCAGCTGGCCTGGTCACAGCTGCTCCGGTCCCAGCTGGCCTGGTCCCAGCTGCTCCGGTCCCAGCTGGCCTGGTCACAGCTCTCTCCGGTCCCCAGCTGGCCTGGTCACAGCTGCTCCGGTCCCAGCTGGCCTGGTCACAGCTGCTCCGGTCCCACGGCCTGGTCCCAGCTGCTCCGGTCCCAGCTGGCCTGGTCACAGCTGCTCCGGTCCCAGCTGGCCTGGTCACAGCTGCTCCGGTCCCAGCTGGCCTGGTCACAGCTGCTCCGGTCCCAGCTGGCCTGGTCACAGCTGCTTCCGGTCCCAGCTGGCCTGGTCACAGCTGCTCCGGTCCCAGCTGGCCTGGTCACAGCTGCTCCGGTCCCAGCTGGCCTGGTCCACAGCTGCTCCGGTCCCAGCTGGCCTGGTCACAGCTGCTCCGGTCCCAGCTGGGCTGGTCACAGCTGCTCAGGTCCCAGCTGGCCTGGTCACAGCTGCTCCGGTCCCAGCTGGCCTGGTCACAGCTGCTCCGGTCCCAGCTGGCCTGGTCACAGCTGCTCCGGTCCCAGCTGGCCTGGTCACAGCTGCTCCGGTCCCAGCTGGCCTGGTCACAGCTGCTCCGGTCCCAGCGGCCTGGTCACAGCTGCTCCGGTCCCAGCTGGCCTGGTCACAGCTGCTCCGGTCCCAGCTGGCTGGTTTCAACACGTTCCATAATGCATTTAATAATAGTTTTCTTATTCTTTCTATGGATTTTCACTTTTATACTCTGACACAAGCGTGAGAGGACGCTCACAATCCTCTGTCCTTATATGCTCCTTTATATTGATGAATATAATATATATATATATAAATATATATATATATATATATATATATATATATAATATATTATATATATAATAATATATATATATATATATATATGTATGTCGTGCCGAATAGGCAGAACTTGCGATCTTGCCTTAAATAGCAACACTCATCTTACCATATAGGACAAGTGAAAATTTGTGTATGCAATAATTTCGCCAAAATCATTCTGAACCTAACGAAAAAAAATATTTCATTGTGTTTGTTTTAGTATTAAATTATTGTAAACGTATTTAAAAAATATTTAGTTGGGTTAGGCTAAAATAAATTGTTCTTGTTATAATAAGGTTAGGTAAGTTTTCTAAGATTCTTTGGTGCAAAATTTTAAATTTTTTACATTATCATTAATGAAAAAAATATATCTTTAAATGTATAAGAGAAAATTTAGAAAGGACTTAATTTTAAATGAGTTTCTTGCTAATTGACCAGTTTTACATATTCGGCACGACATATATATATATATATATATATATATATAAATATATATATATATATATATATATATATATTATATATATATATATATATATATATATATGTAATGATAAGCAGAGTACCTGGACTTCAACTAAGTGCAGAGTAATATACAAGACCTGATGGTCCATACTTGACAGGTTCTCCTCAGATCCAATTCTTACCTTGTTACGCACATATTTGTCTAACCTGTTTTTAATGGTACTCGAAGAAGTGGCTTCAACAGTCGTAATAATCCATGCTAGACAGGTCTTATTTAAATCCAGTTATGGGTTGTATGCATGGCGCAGCGCCCCTTTGTTCTTGATGACTGAGACACTTGTGCAACATTAGGGTATTTCTATTCTGGAAATGTTTCGCCAGGCAATGCCTTCCTCAGTCCAATGCAGAAAAAGGTAGAAGTGGAGGAGTTTGAGGTAATCAGTCCCTCAGCCTGGAGTCGATTTGTTCAGTTTATCAAGATTAATGAACTGAACATATCGATTCCAGGCTGAGGGACTGATTACCTCAAACTCCTCCTTATTTTCCACTTTTCTTTGCGTTGGACTGAAGAAGCCACTGACTGGCAAAACGCTTCCAGAATAAAGATACCTAAATGTTGCACAAATGTCTCATTTATCACCTTGTCGATTTTCTAAACCATTTATTCACACTGTTTGTTGTTATAGTCGTGTGAGATGCACTTGTGAGGTGACCACACCGGTGTGGTCACCGCTGTGGTCACCGGTGTGGTTACCGGTGTGGTCACCGGTGTGGTCACCGGTGTGGTCACCGCTGTGGTCACCGGTGTGGTCACCGGTGTGGTCACCGGTGTGGTCACCGGTGTGGTCACGTCGGTCAAATATTAAGTCTGCACCTGCGAGAGATTTCTTCATAGCAAATTTTTGAAATGACGTCAGAAATATATTTCTCTTTCGAAGCGTTGAAATTAAGTTGTGTGCGTTGTTTTCTTCTCGTTAGTATCTTGTGTTATGTGTAACTTTCACGTTTGTCCCAATTTATTCCATGTTGGTGATTTTTAAAGGTACATAATTTAATATGCCCATGAATTCCTGGTTTCTCATTGGTTATTGTTTTCTTATGGTTGTTTTGATAAGCTATTGTATTTTGTTTGGATAAAAGATATTTATGCAGAACAACCATTGTGAATAGTGAACTTCCAAGCGCTCGCGTGATTTCTCACATTATCAACGAACTGTGATAATGTAAGAAATCACGAATGCGCTTGGAAGTTCATTATTCTTTTCACAGTGGTTGTTCTGCATATTGTGATATTCCACTTCCTGACAACTCTGTGACTGAAGAAATACTTCCTAACATCCCTGTGATTCATCTGAGTCTTCAATTATCACCTGTTGACTGTGATCTTAATGCAGCAAAAGAAATTTATATTATTTAAATGTTCGCTTTTCTCCTGTATGTCACTGTGGAAAGGGCTGATTAATTTCCTTTTTATCACAACGAAATAGACAGTTATATCTTGAAAACAAATAAGAGATGAGAAACGAAGAGTATATCAAATTATTTACCTTATCTATATAAGGAAAACATATGACATCAACTTTCAGCTAGGATTGTCTCTCAAATGTCCCTCAGTGGGTTCTTCCTGGGCTCGTGGGTTCTAACTAATATATTCGAAAACTACTAGAGTTGGCCAGGTCTACATTAGCGGCCCAGGTGGTAGGCAGAAGCTTCAGGCAGCATAAAACGTGAACACTCATTGCCAGCCGTGAAAGAAAGCTATAGAGACTCAGACTCCGGCAAGACAGCACTTAGGTAAACTTTCAGCAGGACCCACTCTGGAAATAGCAAGTCCAACCTGAGGAACCAACTCCAAGAGTACGTGCTTAGGATTCCACTCTCTTCTTCCCTCCCTTAATTCTCTCTCTCTCTCTCTCTCTCTCTCTCTCTCTCTCTCTCTCTCTCTCTCTCTCTCTCTCTCTCTCTCTCTCTCTCTCTCCTCTCTCTCTCTCCTCTCTCTTCTCTCTCTCTCTCGCTCGCTCGCTCGCTCGCTCGCTCGCTCTCTCGCTCTCTAGTTAGACTCTTCTGCATGGGAATACATGGGAAAGACAGATAGCAGAAGACTTGGAAGCCCACACCGAGGCTGTCTGCCAACAAGAACTATGCACTTTTGTTTAGATTAAGGACCATCATGAATTATCTAGGTGAGTCAACGATAGAAAACCAGAAGGTTTTCTCCCTACCCTCCACTCCCTCCGGTTACTGCCACAGTAAAAAACATGGGAAAAAACATGCCATATGGTAAAATGACATAGAACTTTATAGAAGACGAGTGTTATGATTCCCTCCACTATGTTAGTACTGCTTCTGCCGCCTTAAACTTTCCAAGTTACTCTACTGCCACTCACAGAGCTGTGTGTAGTTCGGCATCTACCTCTCGTTACCACCAGTTTTGGTATGACTATCACAACCCTCTACCTCTGCCACTACTCTTATTGACTCAGTTGCCTTGTCAACTTTTTATTCTGATGCCATTGCTGAACGGCTATCAGGAATCTGTTGACTTCAGAATGGCTCATTTATTGAATATATATGACGGTCCGTATAGGGTTAAGTGTGGGTATGGGAGTGAATGTCCCTGGCAACATTTCACTGTTGTCCTCGCTTACCATACCCCATGTTTTATTGGTCACCGTAACTTATTACAATCTCTGACATGTAAAACAATCTGGGCACCCAAGCAGTCTTGCTTGAAAGATGTTTACGGTGTAAGTGATCCTGAAGGCTTAGGCAACGCCACCTACCAGGGCTCCGTGAAGGCTAAGGCAACGCCACCTACCATGGCTCCGTGAAGGCTAAGGCAACGCCACCTACCAGGGTTCCGTGAAGGCTAAGGCAACGCCACCTACCAGGGTTCCCTGAAGGCTAAGGCAAGGCCATTTACCAGGGTTCCCTGAAGGCTACGGCAACGCCACCTACCAGGATTCCGTGAAGGCTAAGGCAACGCCACCTACCAGGGTTCCGTGAAGGCTAAGGCAACGCCACCTACCAGGGTTCCGTGAAGGGTAAGGCAACGCCACCTACCAGGGTTCCGTGAAGGCTAAGGCAACGCCTCCTACCAGGGTTCCGTGAAGGCTAAGGCAACGCCACCTACCAGGGTTCCGTGAAGGCTAAAGCAACACCACCTACCAGGGTTCCGTGAAGGCTAAGGCAACGCCACCTACCAGGGTTCCGTGAAGGGTAAGGCAACGCCACCTACCAGGGTTCCGTGAAGGCTAAGGCAACCGCACCTACCAGGGTTTTCCCTGAAGGCTAAGGCAACGCCACCTACCAGGGTTCCGTGAAGGCTAGGCAACGCCACCTACCAGGGTTCCGTGAAGGCTAAGGCAACGCCACCTACCAGGGTTCCGTGAAGGCTAAGGCAACGCCACCTACCAGGGTTCCGTGAAGGGTAAGGCAACGCCACCTACCAGGGTTCCGTGAAGGCTAAGGCAACGCCACCTACCAGGGTTCCGTGAAGGCTAAGGCAACGCCACCTACCAGGGTTCCGTGAAGGCTAAGGCAACGCCACCTACCAGGGTTCCGTGAAGGCTAAGGCAGCGCCACCTACCAGGGTTCCGTTTAAAAGGCTAAGGCAACGCCACCTACCAGGGTTCCGTGAAGGCTAAGGGCAAAAAGCCACCTACCAGGGTTCCGTGAAGGCTAAGGCAACGCCACCTACCAGGGTTCCGTGAAGGCTAAGGCAACGCCACCTACCAGGGTTCCGTGAAGGCTAAGGCAACGCCACCTACCAGGGCTCCGTGAAGGCTAGGACAACGCCATCTGCCATGGCGTATATCTACTTCAATCCTATACTTGCAAAGTTCCTGTCCAGCTGTTTCTTGAATGACTGTATTGTCTTTGCGCTAACAACGTGTTGTCTTTGCTCTAAGAACATTAGTTTGTAGTTTATTTAATTCCCCTATAATTGTGTTTGCGAAAAACCCTTTCATACCTTTGCGTTGCATTTTCTACCTCGCAGTTTCATTCCATTATTTCCACTTACCGACTCATTCAGCACTCCAAATAGTTCTTCGTGTTTAAATGTGTCGAAAACATTCAATACCTGAAAAGAAACATCTTGTAATCTCCGTTTCCTAAAAGAGAAAATGGTGAGTGCTTTGAGCCTTTCTTCATAAAGTTGGTCTGAGTGATGATAGGAGTTTGATGGCTCTTCTCTATACCCTCTCTAATATATATGTATTCTGGAGGTCAAGACTGGACGGCACATTCAAGATGCGATCTCACACGTGATGTTTTGATCTCGAGGCTTCTAGTTATAAAACCTGATGTTCTATTAATCATTGCTGCTCGCAGTTAGACAATGATTCGTACTTATAAGGTTGTTACTTATGATTACTCCAAGGTCTTTTTTTCACTTCTTTCGGTAAGTTTATTGCCAAACATTTTGTATTCATGTTTTAGATTATTGTACCCAGAATGCATTACTTTGCACTTGTCTAGATTGAAGCTCATGATTCCACGTCTTTGACCAGAGCCAACCTGTCCAGATCACTCAGAATGTTCAAGCAGTCTGCTGCATGGATAAATTTTCCTATCTTGGGATTATTTATATATATTGTGTAGAGGATTGAAACAAGTACCCATCCCTAGGGAACTTCTCCCTTTACGGGAAGACACTCAGATACCTCTCTGTTGATTACCACTCACTTTCCTGTCTGTGAACCAGTCACTTATCCAGGCATGAAGTGTCTTACACCATGTCTCTCAGAGTTCTCTTGTCTGGAGCTCCACTTTCTTAACGCAAGTTTGAGACGTTAGTAATCCTAAATTTAACACAAGTAATTATGATAAGATGAAGCACCGAGGCATCTAATCAACTTGATTGAGAATTGACTTTTTAAACTCTGCTTATTACGACTACAACGCTTGCCAGAAACACATTAAACATAATATTTATCTAGCTGATCACCTAATAAATTCATGATAGATAGTCGAGTAATTTCCCAACAGTGGCTTTAAAATAATCTACTTTTTAAATGAACATTAGTCGACCCAAATTAATGCTAAAACAACTCAAAATTACAGAACAGCAGACCTAGATAAAACAAGCAGTGATAAAACAAGCAGTGATAATATAAGCAGTGATAAAACAAGCAGTGATAATATAAGCAATGATAAAATGAGCAGTGATAATATAAGCAATGATAAAATGCGCAGTGACAATATAAGCAATGATAAAATGAGCAGTGACAAACTAAATTTAAACTTTTAAACGCAAGCATTGTAGAGGAAATTTACAGTGACGGCTCCAGGGATCAGGCTACTGCCTTTCCCCCCCAAGTAAGAGCAGTATTAATAATAATAATAACACTGCTTTAAAACAAGTCTCCTGGCTCTCCTTCCAATCAGACAGCCATCCCTAAGCCCCTTCTCCCCATCCTCCTCAGTATAGAAATTCTGGAGCTGTCTCTGGAAACGTAGAATAGATTCAAAAGTAAACATCTGAATGTTGAGATATTCCATATCAAACAGTGAGAAGTAAAGTCACACAGTCATGGATGACACAGCAGTGAGCACATAACATAAACCTTCTGATAAATATAAATATATATGTTAGGTGGGTTCGTAGATGGAGGGATGGTAATAAGGAAACAACTGTTGACTGTTATGGAAGTGTATTTGGTAAGCGTGGAAGAGCTCAGCATATCACGTCTGTCTCTCTCGTAAGCCTGCTGGAATCTGAGAGGGAGGCCTCTTGGCCTATAATAATAATAATAATAATAATAATATCTTTATTTCTACAAGTACATGTACAAGGTATACAGTCCTAGCTGACATCAATGACATACTACTATACAGAAAGCCCCTTGTTATGCAGAGCAAATTAGGTCAGTTTTGTCCCAGGATGCGACCCACACCATTCGACTAACACCCAGGTACCCATTTTACTGATGGGGAACATAGATAACCGGTGTAAGGAAACACGCCCAATGTTTCTACCCTCACCGGGAATCGAACCCGGGCCCTCCCTGTGTGAAGGGAGAGCTTTCGCCACCAGGCCACGGGGCAACGCTATTTGTGAGGTACACACGGCGGTCACGTGATTAACCCTTATACTGTCCAAGCAGATTTACGTTCATATGCGTAGTGCTCCAAAAGTGGATATACGTTTTTTTACATATTTTCAAATATAACAAAAAAAAAGTAGGTCAAAGTTTTTTTACACGTTTTCAAATGTAAAAAAAAAAAGATCTACCTTTTTTACATACTTTCAAATGTTGAAAAAACGTAGATCTACGTTTGGACAGTTTAAGGGTTAAGGCTTGGCCAGGGAGCCTGCCTATACATGCGTGCTGAAAATTTCCAGCCAAGACAGGACTCGCAGCAATGGTTTCCAGTGGGAAAAATTCAGATTCAGGAAGGATATAGGAAAGCACTGGTTTGGTAATAGAGTTGTGGATGAGTGGAACAAACTCCCGAGTACAGTTATTGAGGCTAAAACGTTGTGTGGTTTTAAAAATAGGTTAGATAAATACATGAGTGGGTGTGGGTGGGTGTGAGTTGGACCTGACTAGCTTGTGCTGCTGGGTCTGGTGCCGTGCTCCTTCCTTGAGTGGAGGTGACCAGACTGGGTGGGTCATTGGGCTAATCCGGGGGGGGGACATGGACCTGCTCTGCATGGGTCAGTAGGCTTGTTGCAGTGTTCCTTCTTTCTTATGTTCTTATGATATATATATATTATAATATATATATTATATATATATATTATATATATATATATATATATATATATATATATATAAAGACAAAATACATTGACAGAACATTCACAAAATACGATACAAAGTAAAACAACATAGGTAACTCAGAGCTACATCTCGAATACTTCGTCCAGCTCCCGGCGGTGGGCGCGTCCCCAGAATGCTGCAGGCATTTCCTCTCTGGATAGCAACACTGAGTCTCTGAAAGAGGAAGCTGGTCGCTCTGTGGTCCTTTGTTTCTATGATGAGCTTTTTCACCCAGCTCTATTAGGAACTTTATATATATATATATATATATATATATATATATATTATATATATATATATAATATATATATATATATATATATATATATTATATATATAGGTGGAACTGCTAGCTAGATGAACTACTAGGCAAAATATTAAAAAATTAAAATATCCAGTCACATACCTCATAAGTTATATTCAACAAATGCATTACGGAAGGCGAAGTGCCAAGTGACCTTGAAGAGAGAGAGAGAGAGAGAGAGAGAGAGAGAGAGAGAGAGAGAGAGAGAGAGAAGTCTTACTCTCTCAGTCACTGACCATCATCTTGACACCAGTTGGTTAATAACCAACGAAATCCTTAATACGAAACGATATCCTAATATTTAAGAAATAAATAAACTTCTTAATAATAAAAAAATGGCTTCTCAATAAAAGATTTTCCTAATACGTTTGCTGTAATTATTCAGTTATATATAAAACAGTATTAAACCTGGAGGAATCTTTTCTTTGGAATACAGATTATTGTATCATTTTCTTCTAAACGGCCTTCAAAAAAAACAATACCACTTGAAAGATTTTTAAGTAGTAAATTAGAGTATTATGGCGTAGGAGACTAACCTCAGGTGAAGATCACTGACATGGAGGAACCAGAAGTTTGTTGATGTGGAGTGAACATAGTAAGTGGGATCACAGTTGTTGAGGTGGTCAGTCCCTCAGCCTGGGCTTAATATCGTTCTTAATGCACGTAAATGATGTATTGATGTGGCAGATATTTATAATTGAAAAGCTCGCTGACAGCACGAAATTAAGAAGTGATGCCATAACTGTCTCCGAGTAGATGGTGTTGAGAGTGAGCCAGGTAGACTGGTGCAGAGGACAGAGGTGGGCCAGGTAGACTGGTGCAGAGGACAGAGGTGAGCCAGGTAGACTGGTGCAGAGGGCAGAGGTGAGCCAGGTAGACTGGTGCAGAGGACAGAGGTGGGCCAGGTAGACTGGTGCAGAGGACAGAGATGAGCCAGGTAGACTGGAGCAGATGACAGAGGTGAGCCAGGTAGACTGGTGCAGAGGACAGAGGTGAGCCAGGTAGACTGGTGCAGAGGGCAGAGGTGAGCCAGGTAGACTGGTACAGGGGGCAGAAATGAGCCAGGTAGGCTGGTACAGGGGGCAGAAATGAGCCAGGTAGGCTGGTACAGGGGGCAGAAATGAGCCAGGTAGGCTGGTACAGGGGGCAGAAATGTGCCAGGTAGGCTGGTACAGGGGGCAGAAATGAGCCAGGTAGGCTGGTACAGGGGCAGAAATGAGCCAGGTAGGCTGGTACAGGGGGCAGAAATGAGCCAGGTAGGCTGGTACAGGGGGCAGAAATGTGCCAGGTAGGCTGGTACAGGGGGCAGAAATGTGCCAGGTAGGCTGGTACAGGGGGCAGAAATGAGCCAGGTAGGCTGGTACAGGGGGCAGAAATGAGCCAGGTAGGCTGGTGCAGATGACAGAGGTGAGGAAGATGTTGCTTAATATGGACAACCATAGAGTAATGTATTTGGGTAATGTAAAATATGAATATTACAGTGTATGGAAACCCTCTTGCTAGGACAAACAGTCGTTAGCACTCGCCAAGCACTTTAAATAATATCTAGCTGTGAGCAGGTACAATGGTGTTACACTATGAAACTTCAAGTACAAAACTGGAACAGTTGTAACACTTCAGACCCACCTTGAATATGCGGTCCAAGTTAGGTGTCCAATATATATATATTATATATATATATATATATATATATATATATATATATATATATATATATATATATATATATATATATACAGAACAACCATTGTGAAGAATAGTGAAATTCCAAGCGCTTTCGTGATTTTTCACATTATCAGGGAACAGTAAAATTAAAAGATCAACAGAAAGGTATATAAGGACGAGACTACACTTCGAGTTACCTTACAACACCTAACTTTTTATGATGATGTAGGTAGGCAGTCAAGGATCTGTGAAGCACAACTTATATTCTACCCGAGCATCAAGAATTTAACTTGTCTAATGTATCATAAATTCTTTCCAAATTTTATTAGTTACAAATGAATTCAATTTGTATAAATCAAAAGCAATATTCATATTATTTTCAAAACTCTGTGTGTGTGTGTGTATGTATAAAAGATGAACATTAAACTACAGAGAATGATAAAGAAACTAGGTAGTCTCCTCGTTAAGGAACACTTCGTGTGAAGAAAAACTCAGAGCACTTATTGTCTTCTCACTCTGGGAGCAACAACCAGACATAACTTCATCATTCAAACCTTTTAAGATATTAAACAAATTTGACATACTCAGACATGAACTCTGCGAAAAGTTAAGTAATAAAGGGAAGAAAAAAGGATGTGAAACTCTGTGGCAAGAGGTGTAACACGAATTTAGGTAAATATTTATTTTAAAAGTTATAGAACACAGGAATTGCCTTAGCTCTTAAATTGTTAATACAAGAACTGGTTAGACAAACACCTTGAACTAGAGATGGTAGAGATGGTAACTACACACAGTGTATTGGATGAGTATATTGTTACTGGTTGGACGTAGTCACAGTCACAATGACGATAGTTCGAGAACTACTCAGGACGACACGTTGTGATGGTAGAAATAGTTGGAAGAGGTAGTCTACATTTTCGCATCCACTTCTATATTTATATTGCACGTCAAATGTCTAAACTCTTGTTTTATGAATTCCAGTGTACTCTTATGTACTCATACTTACATGTGCTCTCATTTACTTCCCTATACTGCCATATTGTTTCGTGTACCGTCATATGCTGCATTGTGCTCCCATGTACTCCCATATACTCCAGTGTGCTCCCATGCCATTGTCCTTACACTTACTCCCCAGTACAATATATGGGGCTGCCCTGTATCTAGGGGTGTGTACACTCTGCTGTTATTTTGTGTACTCTGCTGTTATTTTGTGTACACTGTTGTTGTTTTGTGTACACTGCTGTTGTTTTATTAAGGGGTTACAGTCTCACTCTTGAAGCAGTGAGATATGTTGGAGCTGAAAGAAAAGGCCCTTGTGCTCTCTTATTCTCTTTCATAATATTTCATGGTTTTTCCCAACCATTTCATATTTCTCTCTTTCTATCTCTCTCTCTCTCTCTCTCTCTCTCTCTCTCTCTCTCTCTCTCTCTCTATCTATCTATCTATCTATCTATCTATCTATCTATCTATCTATCTATCGATCGATCGATCGATCGATCTATCTATATCGCTCAAATTCGTTTCGAATTTATAAAAATATCCTTGATTTTGATTATTTTGTTTTTACTCGTTATTCATGAGTCGTTTCTTCATGGTTGTGAGAAGCAGCAAGAGAGAGAGAGAGAGAGAGAGAGAGAGAGAAATAGCTTGTCAGTAAAGCTAGGGATCCTTAACCTTGTCAAGCCCTGTGTAAAAGAGAGAGAGAGAGAGAGAGAGAAGAGAGAGAGAGAGAGAGAGAGAGAGAGAGAGAGAAATAGCTTGTCAGTAAAGCTAGGGATCCTTAACCTTGTCAAACCCTGTGTAAAAAGAGAGAGAGAGAGAGAGAGAGAGCACAACATTTTCTGCTCTACTTAGCTCGTCAACATTTCAGGCTGGCGGACTCTATCTTCAGCGATGAGGACTCCAGGTCCAGGAGGTCCAACTCCAAGAAGTATCTGCGCCACAACTTTGCCAAGTGCAAGAGCAAGTCGGTCTTCCGGACGTACGAGCCATCGGCGGCGTCTGCGGCTGCAGAAGCCAGGAGGAGCAGCTTCAGGTGAGGCAGGGGTCTGCCAGGGTTCTGGTATGAGACTTCGGGGTTGGCAGGGGGCTCTTGGGCCTTGGGGCCAGCTAGTGGGAGCATCTAGTTACCACTGAGAACTAGACAGTGAGAGCTACACAGTGGGAGTTCTAAGGTAGTGACAGCTACACAGTGGGAGTTCTAAGGTAGTACCAGAGGCTAGGCAGAGTTCTTAGGTACCACTAGAGAAGAAGCACTGACAGTCCTGTACCATTAGAGGATAGAGGATAGGCAGTGAGTTCTTACGGACTACCAGGAACTGTACAGCAACTACTGTACGCAATTTACATACTACATAACCCCAGAAATGTGTATATAAATTACTCTTAGGAAACTGGAACCTGTATGAACATGGGAAGAGGATAAGACCCTATCACATTCCTTGTTTAATACGTTCACTGTATTTTCTAACAATTTATATATTTATTCTCTTATTTATTGCGTTGCGCATTGCACGTATAATATGGAATTCCGTTTATAAATTTATTTTCTTAATAATAATAATAATAATAATAATAATAATAATAATTTTATTTCCGCCTCCGCCTCCGCCATCTTCACCTTCTCATCTAATTATTCTTCTTCTCTCCCTTCTTCGTCCTATTATTATTATTATTATTACTATTATTATTATTATTATCATCATCATCATGATCACTGCAAACCAGCCACCCTAGAGTTGGGGTGTCCTCATGTTATTTTTTTTGTTAGACAAACCAGTTTTACGGGCTAAGAGGTGTTATTGTACATCATTTCGTTTCAAATCCCAGCCCTGTATACTACCACCCCCAGGATGCCACCCACACCAGTCGATTAACGGACAGCAGGTGTCTTAAGGAAACATGCACAACGTTTCCACTAATACCGGGGATCGAACCCCGGACACTCAGTGTGTGAGCTGAGTGCGCTACACGGCGAAGTGACAACGTTACTGGGTGTCCGAGAGAGCACAGTATATTGCTGAAATGCCTAACAATATCAGTTTTTATTACTCTGGCTGGTATCTGTACTACACCATACCACTGGTTACCAGTGTCACAATCCCACACCACATATCACTAATTATCACTGGCACAATCCCACACCACACGTTACTGATTATCAGTGTCACAATTCCACATCATACGTTACTAATTATCACTGTCACAATCCCACACCATACGTTATTGATTATCAGTGTCACAATCCCACACCATACATTACTAATTATCACTGTCACAATCCCACACCATACGTTATTGATTATCAGTGTCACAATCTCACACCAAACATTACTAATTATCACTGTCACAGTCCCACACCATACATCACAAATTTATCACATCACAGTTGTCCACGACTGTTAACACAGTACCAGATGACACAGCACTAGTAGCTGCTGCTGTGTCACTGTGGGACTTTATACTACACAGGTATACTGTACACTGAGAAGTGTGTATCTCTGTGTATTAAAGTTTATTTGAATGCTTTTTCAAGAGGTTCAAGCATCCTTGACTGGTGGTGTAAAGGTTCCATTGCAGCCTCAATGACCGTCATGCAGTCGATAAGGTTTAAACCTAATTAACCATCCAATCTACACAACTAGTTATCCCTAGCAATTCCACATGATACATCAATTATCACTGTTGCAATTACAGACGACACATTACGTATCACTGTTGCAGTCAGAAACATTACTTATCACTGTTGAAACAACCAATTAGTGACTTGCAGGTGCTTACAGGCATTCTGTTGGCTGAACAAGCCTTCCATACATACTGCTAATCACTGCCGCGCACTCAGCAGACACTCTTACGAAAGCCCGGCTCTCCCAGTGGTTAAATTTACCTCACTCAAGCAGCCAGTCATAGTCCCTGATTGAAACTAGCCTCTCCTATTGGCAGAATAAAGCATTGCCAAGCAGCCAAACATCATCGGGTTCATAATAAAATTAATAATAATAATTATTATTATTTTCTTAACAGTAGAACTAATCGAATTAAAATCAATAATTAAAACTATTAATACAAAAATCATTGGCACAATTGACTGTATAAATTAAAAAAAAAGAACACGTCATCAGGACACCTAAATCAGACATCGACATTGAAGGAAGAGAGAGAGAGAGAGAGAGAGAGAGAGGAGAGAGAGAGAGAGAGAGAGAGGGTGAAGACGTGTCACAGTGTGCTCCACAAACTTTCTTAATATTACTTAAATACGAGGGTTGGTGAGGATAAAAACTGTTCAGTGACGTAGTACTACTTACAACACATTAGTACAAGTAAGCCAACTCCTCCACTGAAGTGAATATAAGCAATATCAGTGATATTTAAGTGTGGTATGGTGAAGACATGGTGTGAGTGAGGGGACAGCGGCAGGCCTTAGGAGTGACTTCACTATTGCCTTCAGAGTGAGCATCTAATATTATAATATTATATGTGTTTTGTGCTATGTACTAGCATCTGGTGCTTTATAACAACGTGGCTGGTACAATGCAACATAGTGATTTGTGTAACATCTTCCTTTAGTGGAAAAGTGGATAGCATAAACAGTGTTTATTAAGTGATAGTGAGAAGGCAACACTTCCAGCTAGTGGCCCACTGCCGCCCGCCCTCACTACCCACCCAGCTATAAACACCCCCACCCACGATACTCCACCCCACCCACGAAACCACCACCCACCCTCTCTCTCCTGTGAACTTCAAACCTACAAGCCTCCTCTGGGATGACTTCACACCGCAAAATAGCAAAAAAAATATCTACGCTATCTGGCTATTGTCCCAGTATTACTGCAGTGTTTGTGGGTATACCACAAGGACAAAAATTTCTTCTTAGATGTAAGGAGCCTACTTGTTCCAACTACTGCCACACAGATTGCATTCCAGAAGAAAAATTTTTTGTTGCAGCCAGGTTGAAAATTTCAAAAAAATTAAGGATATCCATAATCCTGTGGTATATGGGATAAAAGCCTGGAGCTACAGGAGGAAGGTTCAGAAGTCCTACCTCAGGGACTCCTGTCCAAAGATCAAGACTGCCCTCTTGGGCTGTGTTGTAAAGTTGCAGCTAAGATAATCCATCACAGGGAAGCACTTCATGACTCCTCAAATCATTAGATAACCTACAAGCTATTGTAGAAGGTCAGTCAAGCCTACATCAAGTGACGTAAGCTGCTCAGCTGAATGGTGACACTATTGACAAAGACTGGAAGTCCCACACTGAGCTTAACCAGGGGTAAACAACTGGTGGAATTCTGTCATCGCAAGGTCCCACAGACTGACAGAGTTCAAAACACAAACCTTTGGGAATTCTAACAAAATTTTCCTCTGACCACCACAGAGGGAACAAATCCTCTTCCCAGCAACGGGGGAAGCCTTGATCTGTTAAATTCTCCTACACCGACATCTCTGCTTCAGCCACTGCCTGTCTACTTGACAGTGTAAACACCACTCTGATCCTACACCTGTGCAGCACACCTGCCGACACTATTCTAGAATCTGGTAGCAGTGCTTCGTCAGCAAGTTCTGAGCCAGGAGTTTTCTCCACCAGAGAAAGGTGCAGTTAATGATCAGGGAACTATCACTGCACCTGATACCTACTGTGCCGAAGAAACGAACAGCAGGACACATCTGTCAGAACTGGAAAGAGGACGGGCAGAGGACGTGGAGGAGGACGTGGAGGAGGAAGACTTTCTACAGCCGTCTCACCCTCCACTAACACAGTTCCAGGGGCAGAATCTGAGGACAAATCTGCAAAACCACAGGAGGGCAACAAATCCTAGTCCACCCTCCCAGGCACCTAGGCTGTGCTCTCGCTGTCACCGGAAGGGGCACACTGCCAACATCTGCCTGCGAGATACCAGGTGTAATTAACCTGCTACAAGAAAACATAAGGAGGACCAGTGTCGGAAGAAAAAGGAACTTGACAGACAGGGCCACCTTTTTAAGACCTGTTCTCAGAACAAACCAGCGGATCTCTGAATTGGTGAACACTCTCACACGTCACCCACTTAGCACTCCTACCCCCAGCCCAGCAGGTGGGATTGTGCCTTATACAAGACCACAGACCTACATCCCTGCAGCTGCTCAGTACCCTACCTCTCTCAAGGGCAGGCACCTTACATTCCCTACACCCACCACCTCAACTGACCACTTCATCATGAGGAGCCAGTCTATCAGCATCCTGTCGGCCAACATTAGGGGTTTCATTACTAATGTTGGAGAGCTCACACATAGTTTTGTGAACACTCGACGTCCCGACATGATAGCTGTTGTTGAAACATTTTTGGATGACAGACTCCAGAAAATTTTGCAAGAATTGCGGGCTACACCTCATGGATGAAAGAGACAGGCAAGGGCAAGGAGGAGGTGTTGCTGTTGCTTTCTCTAAAAGTGTTCATGCCCACACATTGATGTTGCCACCCGTACCCATCTTGAAATAAAGTTCTTCAAGCTCTGTATAAACCTAGTACCTCTGTACTAGCATGTGCAATGTAACAGACCTCAGTGGCAACATGCAGACCCATCAACTTCCAAATGGAAAATATTGACTCCCTTCGCTACAACACAACTGTCAACAATTTATAATTTTTGGGTGACCTCAACCAGCACCTTATACAGAGGGACTTTGATGACCTTCTTGCAGTGTTTGACATGAGAAACTTTGTTGATTCCCTACTCATATCTCTGGCTCCTTCCCTTGACCCAGTATGAGTGATCTGGCAGAAGGCATAGTCACTTGTCAACCCCTCGGCTACGTTGGATCCTCTGACCACAAGGCTGTTTTTAAAAGACACTTAAGATCCCAACAGAACGTGGTGAGGAGTCCACACGCACAACCTGGCTATGGGAAAGAGGCAATTGGCCAGCCCTTTGCTCTGAGCTCGCCACCACCGACTGGGAAAGCTCTTCTCCAAGGGGATGTTGACAACCAAGTGAACCTTCACTGGACACAACCTTTAAACTACAAGAACACATTCCTCACCGGCAATATTTGACGAA